GTTCTGTGCCATTCTCCTGGCGTTTGCAAAAGCCACTTTGCCTTTTATGGCAAATGGCAAAAACAAACATTTTAAAGCCGCATTTCTTTTTTATACCCTGAATCTATCGAAAGTCAGGAGAAGGGCTATAATGCAGTTGTGCAATATAATGTCAAATATGAATAGCATTAAGTATATATATTCTGTTCAGCATCAATGAAACTGAGTATATATGGGATACTGGATCGGATCACTATATCATATAGCTGCCCTAGGAACACTTTCTTCTTTTCGTTTGCGAAGATATATAGACAAAACTCTTTATATACGATTTTTGGTGTACTCCTCACATTTAGATAAAAAAAAACATCTTCAAAATTGGATCACTACATGATATATAGCTGACATAGGTCAGTTCTCATTTTAACTCCGCTTGGCAAAGTGTATCCAATCTTCGGCTTTCTTTGTTGTTTTTCTTTGAGTTTTTTTTGTTTGCTCATTTAACAGATTATTTGTAGAATTATCTCCACTTCGTGTTTAAATTATTCCGCACATTTGCTCAGTCCATTTTTCACAATTAACTTTCGAAACTTGTTAGCCGAAATTGTTGTTGTTGTTGTTATATTTGAAGTTTTATTCATTGCCACATTTTACACAGTTCACAATTTAAAGCAGGCGATTAATTTTTGGTAATTATTTAAATCAAAACAAAATTAATTAAAATTTGAGCATACAAATTATACGCAAAATACATCTATTTTGATGCTTTGTCTGCAGTATAAAAATGAAAATCGTTTCGATTTTGATGACCGCAAATAACTGTCAATTTTTGATGAGTGTGGTGGCATAAAAATCACAAAAAACTAGAAATCCAAAATGTTAACAATTTGCCCAGCGCCGCGAAGTATGCAAAAGAAAGGCTGCAAAAAAGCTAATAAAAAATGTCGCATTTTTTCTCTTTTTTGTGTAAACAAAACTTCAACTCGAGCAGCTTTTTGTATATTTCCTTCTACTATATTTAATTAATTTAACGACTACTTGAGAAGTTAGCGGATACAAGTGTGTGTGTGTGTGTGTGTGCGTATGTGTGTGTGTGTGTATGTTAAGGGGGGGCTGTGGAGAGGGGCCTCAATGGGCCTGTGACATGAAAAACTCATTAAAATGTTTACAGGCACACAAAATCAACAAAGCAACAAAAGCGACTCGGACAGACAAACAGACAAACAGACGAGTGACAAAAAGTCACAAAAACAACAAAGCACACACAGCAACTGAAATTGTTTTCATTTCAAATATCAACTAAAATCTCTCGAAAACTCGCAAAACCCACTAAACTGGCAGCTAGAAAAAAAAGTTTGCATTGCAAGTTTCCTTTTCATACCCTGAACGCAGTGGAAAATGGGTCAAAAGGGTATGATAAAGCGGTGCCAAAGTATGTGACACTCTTCGACTCTATCAATAACATATATTTGCGTGTTATGCATCAAGTCGATATAGCCATGAGCCAATGGATCTCAGAGACATAAGATCCAAGAACTTCAAATTTGAAATATGTATTCTCGTTTATTTTATTTGATCAAATATCGATACAAATCGATTTTCGATAGTAAATCACAGTTGTAAATGTGTTGCTTTCCCATTAATATATAATATATTACTGAGCAGGTACACAAATTCCATAATCGGATCATATTTGAAAATACAGAAATGAATTTGCATATTGAACAATTTAATGCAGCAAATATTTGATGTCTTTAACATTTAGTGTTGAGGGTATCTCCCAGTCGAGCTCTCTCGACTGCAGCATTCTGACTCGCTTTTCATTTTCTTTTTTCCGTCACTTGCAAAAACTTGTTGGCAAAAGTTTTTAAATTAAAATTTTAGTTGCTTTCAATATTTAATGTGTGCGCAGCGCAAACTAATTAAGAATTGACAAAAAATTACATAGCGGCTGCACTGGCGAATATATTCGTATCTACGAGATACAAATGTGCAATTGTAAATGCAGCTGCAATTTCTAGTTTCTGGTTCTGTTTCTGTTTTTGGCTCATTTATTATTCAATGCGCTCAGCGGACGCGAACGTGTTTATGATTATGATTTCTCGTCTTTCTCTCGGTTTTATTTTTGGTCTATATGTTTATATACATATACATATATATATATATATGTACATTCTTTTTTGTACACAGTATTTATGTTTTTTTTTTTTTTTTTGGTTTTTTTGGTTTAGTGTTTTTGCGGTCTTTTGTCTGGTTACACAATTGGCAGCTAACATTTGTCACAATTTAGCGTCAAATAAAATTTAAATAAAATATATGTTTTGTCACACACACATATATTTTTTCCTGACACTTCGGCTGGCGCTTAAAAATTTATGAAAATAATTTAGAAATGCATATTATATGTGAATATGGTCAGAAATTTTTGTTTGTGTGCTAGCCAAATTTGTCAGCTGATAAACAAATTGCATGCAATTATTGCATGCAATAAATTCGACTGCAATTCGACTTTAATTGGGCCGAGAAACATTTAAATGTCATTCAACCATTAATTGGCCGCCGGGCACAAAAATTATATTCTACTTAAAATTAAATACGGCTATCATTTTAAGTTAATGCCACAGCAGAATAAAGCCAAAAGAAACAACAACAAAAGGTTGATGTTTCACTTTTTTATTGTCAAACAAATTAATAAAAACGGGCTGCAAGTGAAAGATACTTAAATGTTGATAACTAAGGTTCAAGATATTCTAAAGTTAGAGTTACTTGATGTTAAGGAATATATCTGTTTATATATATATATATATGAATAATATAGAATATGATAACAGATCAATCAGTGTTTGATAGCCTTTCAACAGATTGTTCAATGTTCTCAATATGAACTTTATATAAAACAAATACTTGTTAATGAACACAATATCTCTTCTTTATCTTAGAATATCCTTATGCGAGTCTTTTTTGTTGTAATCTGTTCAACAATGTGATATTTAATATCTGATTTAAATATAAAATAAGTAAAGATTCTTAAAAACCAAAGTATATAACGACTTTCGCATATATACATAAAGTATTTTAATGCATATTATTTTAATTGAGCACTTTATTTATTTTTATAATTATAACCTCAATTTTAATGCACATATTAAAGTTAAACGTTTTCAAATTTATTAAAGCGATTTTATGTTTAGCAAATTCGTATTTTATATATTTGAAAATGATTTTGCATCGATAATAATTGGTTTGTATTTTTGAATAACTTTGAATAAATACATTTTAAGTATTTGTATCCGAATGAATCATGAGTGAAACTGAAAACAAAGCTCTCAATTGGAAACACATTATTGAAGAGTACAAAGGCCATAAGGGTCAGAGCTATATATAGTAAATGATATACTGTACAATCTGATAATAACATAATTAATAATCAATAAGCCATATTCACTGAATAAGGGTTATTCAAATGCAGGAGGATACCACAAAATGTCCAAAAACTAGATGATCTAAAGATTTTAACCATAATCTACATTGAATAATATTGTATAATAATGATAATTTATTCGAAGAATAATAATAACTGAGATATAATAACAGAGATAAGCTAAATATCTAAACAATTACAAACTGAACTTGACCTGCTGTTGCTGAACTTCATTTATAATATAATCAAAAACTTCAATCTCACACTCCGAATTTAATTGAGTCTTTCTCCCAAGTTGACTCAACCAAATCATTGTTTTTAAATACACAAAATACATTAAATACTGTTTTCTATAGCATTCGTCCATTACTCAATTTTATTTTAGCCACTCACTTCTCAATTTTATTTTTAGTATCTGCTAACCTGGTTTTGTTATTTTCTTTTTTTTTATATATATATTTTTATGACAATTTTTATAGTAATATGATTTACTTTTACCAAGAAGCCTGTATTATTTTTATTTCGCTGTTTAGCTTTTTTTTGGAAAAGCAATTAAATTTGTAAATTTTCGATGTTTTTTGCTAATTTACTTGTGAGTGCGACAACGGCCATAAATAAGTCATTAACTCGTTTAAATTGCTTTATTAGCCGCATATGATACGATAATACGATGATAATGCTGTGGAAAGTGGGTTCTGGTTCTACGAGTTGAGAATAGTTAGACATAATTGCTAGTTAGTGTGGCTAGTTAAGCGAGATTGTTGTTAATTGGGTATTAGTTAGAATATAGGACTGATTAACTATGAGAACAAATTGTTGAGCGCCAGGCGAATACTCTTGAATACCTTGAAGTTAAATTTACAATGCAACTAAAATAATATTCAATATTGTTGCAGATATTAGCAATGCTTGAAGCACACTTCTCCAAAGTCAGACACAAAAATTGAAAAACTCCAACTTGCTGAGTTAAATCATTTGAATATTTAAAGAATTTGATTGGACTTCAGCAAGAAGAAAGGTTTTAACTTTTCATTGACCAGATTCGCAATTGAAATATTATAAATATAATTAGTAACAAGACATATTTTAGCCAATCAGTTCCCCACATATAGGACTTTGTTGACTTATAGTTTTACTTCTTTACACAGAGCACTTTTGCGCTTTTGGAAAAATTGAAAATGCTCTAAGAAAATGTGTGAATTCTTTCCCAAGTTTTTAAAGTGTTACTTTTTACAAAGAAGAAATTACCGCTTGAAAAAATAGATGTGTTTTTCTTATTGTCTATCCAAAAATGCGCCACTTTCTGCTCTTGATATTAATTAAGTATCCGCAAAAATGTTTTATATAAGTTATTTAAGGTCAGAAAATACAAGAATAATTGTTAAATGTTTTCTGCGAAAATCAAATTCAAACCTTTTGCTATTCATCAGAGTTTATTTTATTGCCAACTTTTATTATATTTCAAAAACTGGTTTCGATTCACAAGCAAAAACACCGTCGGAAGAATCTGAATAAATTTGGCGACTCTTGCAGTTTGTGTGGGACAGTATAGTCGACTATATATTAGGTAAATAGAGAGTTATATAGGAAGTTAACTTACTTATCACATCGTGGCCGTGACAATCCAAATCCAGGTGATGATTCATCACCAGCGATGGCTGTAATCCAGTTTGATTGTGATTGTGGTTGTGCAATGGTAGCTGGTGAGCCAAATGGCCACCAATCTCTGCCATTACCATATATTTGGCTTATAGACCCCGGCTTAACCACCCAAAAACACACTTGTGTGTCTTAATTCAAAATCAAAAACTAAAACTCAAAACTCCTCCAGCTAAATTCTCCAACATTGAGCAGCAAATGTTGATGGGTGGCGGGGAGTTTTTTCTTTACTTTTTTTTTTTTTTTGTTGTTGGGGTTTTTTCTCTCTCGAAGGCACTTTTTGTGTTGAGTTTAGTTAAGATACTTTTTCGCTTTTCTATTTTCTATTTTATTTGATATTTTTGTATCTTGTATCTTTTTGTATTTACGCACGACACTCTTTTGTTGTTGTTGTTGCAGTTGTTGGTTAGACGCGAACAGGTAAATGTAATAACGCCATAGGTCGAAAAGATCTCGTCGAGTTTTCGTATCGTATCCAACAAAAATCGGCGACGGCGGCAAAATTCTGCCTTTTCTTTTTGTATTTCTTTTTTTTTGTTACAAGAAGCGACGACGGCAAAAAGGCGAACAACGAACAGCGAACGATGATGATGACGACAACGAAATTGTTGTAGGGTGTGTGTGTGTGTGTGTGTGTTGCTGTAGTTGTTGTTGTTGTTGTTTTGAACGTAACGCACACACCACAACGACGACGAGCAGCAGCAAAACAACAACAACAATAATAATAATAATGAATACGCTAGAAACGGGAGGAGAAACGCGTTGCACACGATGCTGACGGCGCTGCGATTGCTGAACGACTAAACCGGCTGTGTATCTTACAGAGACGAACGCCTCACTTCGTGTTCTGCGTTTCGTTCGTGTGTTGGTGACGACGCCGTCGCTGCCAACGTCAGCGGCGACGTCAACGCCAGCGCAGCTAACCCCTCGTTGGTTGGCTTAACGGCTGCGCTCCTTCCACATTGTTGAGTTGCTTCTTGTGTTAGAGCAGCACAGCTAGCGGGGGTTTGCTAGATGTGCGTGTGTGAGTGTGTGTGCGCGTGCAACCGGTTTGGTTCATCGAAAAATGCGAGCAGAAAACAGAAACAGGTGTTTGATTACGCTGCTCGCTCATTCACACACACACACAGAGACGCTTACATGCGTCTATCTCGCTCGGCGCCGTTTTCTAAATGGCGTCCAAGCGGGCCAATCGGTTGGCCCCACTGCGCATGAGTCGCCCCCAAAAACAGCAGCAGCCGCAGCAACAGCAGCAGCAGCAGTGGCAGCAGCAGCAGCCGAGACACACACAGCTGTGCGCGAGTTAGTTGCAAGCGTTGCCGTCGGCTACATTTGCAATCCACACACACACACACACACACAGGCAATGGAGGCAGTCAACCCTCCTTCGCCTCTTTACAACTATCACGTTTTTTTTTTGTGCTTCTCTTTGCTGCCTTTGTTTTGGCAATTTTCGCTTTTGGTTTTCGAAGTTTGTACTACAAAATGGTTGCACTTGTAAGCAAATGCCGCTAGTCTGCCCCTGCCCCTGCCGCTGCCACTGCCACACCCCTACCCCCAGCAGCCCCCTGAAGTTGTTGGCTGTGTAATGCGCTTGTCGAAGTTTTTGGCAGCCACAGCCGCACCTTGTCTTGACTCTTGGCTGCGGCTGATTCTCGAGCTGCTTCTTGCTACTTGCTGGTTGCTACTTGCTAGTTGCTACTTGCTGACTGCTGTTGCGGCTGTGGCAACGTCTTTTTGTTGGCCTCGTCGCTACATCATAATAATTATTGATCTTTTGATTTTGTGTGTGTGTGGGTTGTGTTGGGTTTGTTTTACTCTCGTCTCGTCTCGTTTACCGTTTACCGTTTATCGCTGTTACTGTTCAAGGCTCCTCTCTGTTGCAATTTTAATGACATGTGCCACGCCTGCAACGACCTACACCTCCCCATCCTCCCCATCTCTGTTGTGAGCCCAAGTGTGTGTTTTGTTGCGGTTAGCAGTTCGTTGACTTGGCACCCAGTTCTCTCTTTTCTCCTGATGATTTGTTGCTGTTGTTGTTGTAATTGCTGCCTGAGTTGCCAAAGTTGCCAGTTTGGCTGTCTGCTGCTGTTGCTGCTGCTGCTGATTCCCCGATTCCCTGTTGTGTTACCCAGTTAGCCATTATTTTTACCGTTTTTATTTGATGCTGCTTCCGTTTCGCTGCTGCGAGACGAGCTGTTCGTCGAAAGGGGGTTGTTGGGTGGGGGGCTTGTAGTAATCAAGGTCATCAGCTCCGCTTGGGCCACTACGCTCAGTCGGAGCCGTCACAGTTAGCCAGAAGCTGACACATTCCACAGTGGTCGCTTTAAAATTATAATTGCTACTTTGCTAAAAAAAATTATGTTAACTTTTTGATAAATATGAATTCAGTTAATGATTTTATTATTAAATTTTAAAAGAGAAACGTTTCTTCTGAAAACATTTTCTAAATTATATTTTAAGTTAATGAAACTTTTACACGCGTATTAAATCAATGTTTAATAGCATTTCAACTGCTTGATAAATGCCAGCAATTAAATAAATTAGACGTCAAACAATATAAATAAATACAAGTTCCCATATGACAAATATATAAGTATAATATTAATAATAATAGTTTCTTAAATTTTATGATTTCTGTACAGCATAGGTCAATTTAAAAGCTTTGATGAAAATTCTCCATACGCAACAGAAGATAAAACATATTTTCTGCTTATCCAAATTAAGCACTTAAAATTTTCATTAAAATCTTTTTAAATTTCTAAATTTTCTAAATACCACTGTACGTGATAACACACACACACACACACACACACACACACACACACACACACATAATCACAGCCACGTATCGTTTCTATACAACTGTAAAAGCTTTCGCGCCATCTCCTTCATACACACACACACCCACACACACCCACACACACGCACACACAGCTGGGCAGCAAAAACAGCTGACTGATTTGTCTGTCTCTCTGTCTGTGTGTCCGTCTCTGTGTGTGTGTTGTTGTTGTTGTTGTTGCTGTGTGCAAGGCTGGCAGAGCATGATTTCAAAATTTAATTAGGTCCCGTCCATTAATTGGGTTAATTGAAATGCCGGTAAAAGTCTGGCAAACGACGAGCAAAACGAGCAAAAGCAAAAGCAACAACAGAAACAACAACAGCAACATTAAACAACAATAACAACAATAACAACAATAACAACAACAAAAGCAACAAAAGCAAGCGCGCTTACAAAATTTAGGACATGTCACTCAAGCAATGCTAGCTCCACATAAACAGTTCCTTCCCACCTTCCGCCCCCAACTGAATCCCCCTCTTAGTGAAAATGAAATGTTTTCAACTTGTTGGTGGATTCATTTAGTTATGCAGCATTATCATTGTTGTTGCTGTTGTTGTTGTTGGCATTGATGTTCAATTGCTATTTAAGAGAGACAGCGAGAGCAAAAATATCCATTTATTACAACTCAATTCTCAATTACTTAATTGCTGCTAATTCGCCAAAAAAAACTTGTGTTTAATCTTTCGTATTTTTGAGATTATTACTAAACTTCAAATAGGAAATTAAGCTAATAAATATTTGGAATGCAGGCATTTTTAGGTGTTTGTGTTTTATATCTTTGCTAATATGCTTGCTTCTCTTAAATAGTTTAAAGTTGGTAATAATCTAATTATCTAATTATATCTAATTTTCCTTCATGGAAAAAATCTTCACATATTTCTACATCAAAATTGAACTTGTATTCTAATATATAATTTATATATATATCATTTTCCAAGCTGACTTAATGCTAACTTCAAAATGGAAAGCAGAATTTCTCTAATTTTCTTTAATATTATTTTCTTGAACTCATTTCGATTATTCATTCGATAACTTGCCTCAGCAAATTGGCTTTTGCATTCAGTTGTTTTATTTGCTTAACTGACAGCTGCTGTCTCCCTTTCTCCTCTCTCTCTCTCTCTCTCTCTTTTTCTATCTCTCCATTCCCATTGGGATTGCTACACTCTTAACTAGTTAATTAGAAATGTTGTGCTAAATCAACATTGAGTTTGCACCCATTGTAAATCTCTGGCCTGTCCTGCACTTTGATTGCCCCCAATCTTGTTTGCTCACAAGGTAGCTGAATCGGCAGCCTCCTCAATATTGAATATTGAATGGACAGCTTAAGGTTAGCTAGCAGCTGTAGTCTCTGTTTAGTAATCAGTAGTCAATTTGCCCGACCGATGTTCGATGTCAGTTACAAAGATATATTCACAATAAGAATAAACGACTTGCTGCAGATATCTAAATTTCACTATTCATGTTTAGAATCAATCGATTTTTTCTATGAAAACTATATGATATTGTAGTCAGAGAATTTTATAGTTATTTTGGATACATACATTAAATTAAAATTGCTTTTTTTCATATAAGAACTTCTCTTTTCGATTGATTATTCCAGCTATGTGATATAACCATTCAAGACTGAGGGACTACTTGGCATATAAACAGACAGACAGCTATATAGACTGCTGATATAGAATCTATTTACCTTGTAAGGTTGGAGATTCAGAGAAAATTGACAACAAAATTATAATACCGTCTAAAAAAGTAGAATAATCTATATTTAACAAACATATGCTAAGATTCTTGGCTCTGCTTTGAGCTGGTTTCTCATAGACGATATTATTCTAAATACTTTTTAAAATAGTTGTCAAAATGTCTAAATATTTGTTTAAATTATTATATCACATTAAATAATAATAATATATTAGAGATCAGAAAACTTGAACAAAATGTTGTTAGGCAAATTTAAATTTTGTCGATTTAAGTGACTAAAAGTTCTTGACTAAAGATATTCTTTGTAGTTGTAGTTGTAAATGCTGCTGGAGGTTGTAGGTGTTGGTTGGAGGGGTTTTGGAGAGCTGTTTGTGGCAAATGTTTGCGTATATTTAGCATAAATTGCGACTACTTATGAAAGCAACCAAAAACCGAGCGAACCCAATTGAAACCCGTTTTATTTGTTGTTATTTAACCCGAACGGCGAACTCAATGCAAATTTCGGAATTCCAATTTCAATATCAAATACTATACAACGTTCACGTTCACGTTCGTATCAATCTCCACTCCCACTACCACACCCCGCCCCTCCCCGACCACTCCCTGCCCTGCGTTTCGCTTCACGTTTGCCCAGTGTAAAAGTAAATAGCAGAAACTTATGCAAATAGAAACACGCAAAACACCTACGCAAATACATGCCACAGCAGCGGGTGGAGTAGATTTAGGGGGCAGTAATAATATGTGTGTGTGTGTATCTGGGGCGGGGGGGGAGGGGAGGGGCACATCCCGAAAGACGTCGAGTC